TGGGGCGCCGTTTGACCTTTGTTATTTCCACGCTGCTACGGCGTGCGCTTACCTAATAGTGACGAGGAGGAAGTGAGGTGTAGCTCTTGTCTGTGTGTGATTGATTGATTATTTAAGATTATGCCAACCAGGGACGTGGCACGGGCAGGAATAGCCCGGAATGTGTGTGTGTGTGTGTGTGTGTGCTCACCTAGATGTCCTTGTAGGGTTGTTGTTGTTGTTTTAGATTCAGCTACTCAGAACAATAAGTTCCAGTAGCACGGGCTATGGCGAGCCGTAAACTGCCTTGTAGCTTTATACTCACTACCGTCATCTGAACTGTCATTACCCTCTCACCTGACCTTTTATACCCCTAGTTCTTCATTGGTCTATAATCTCTCTTGTTCCTTATGTTCTTGACCAGACCACACACACTAAAAGTTGAAGGGACGACGACGTTTCGGTCCGTCCTGGACCATTCTCAAGTCGATTGTGGTCCAGGACGGACCGAAACGTCGTCGTCCCTTCAACTTCTAGTGTGTGGACTGGTCAACATACTTCAGCCACGTTATTGTGACTCATCGCCTCCTTATATTCTTATTTCTGTTCACTTTTGCCAGTCACCTGGCATCCTTTTGTATGCAAGTGACCTCTCAGTTTTAAATAATCAGACGTTTCCTCGAGTCTTCTAACGGGCTATTCATGCCCGTGCCACCTTTACGGAGGCCTAATCTTCATCAACCTCATGTCTTCTGCCAAACAATCACAGAAAAGTCACTACCTCACTATCTCCAGGAATGTGAAGCAACTAACGACCTTAGAAGAGCTTTAAAGAGTCCCTGAATCTTGCAGTAACGCACACAGCACCGCTCCTGTGCCAGGTAAGTCCACTACGGGCTCACCATAGCCCGTGCTACTTGCCCCGCTCCTGTGCCAGGTAAGTTACGGGCTCACCATAGCCCGTGCTACTCGGAACTTATTTCGAGTAGCTGAATCTATAACAACATTGCAGTAAAGACCCTTGTTGCCATCAACTCGGCCACTCTTAAGGGCATTAAGCACACATATAATACATTGTAAGGGAGACCGTGAATACAGGTTGGATGGTATTGTGTTATAGTTTTACCTGAAGAACAATGTGAATGTGGACGTGCTGGTTCTGGTGTGGTTCTGGTGTGGTTCTGGTGTGGTTCTGGTAAGGTTCTGGTGTGGTTCTGGTGTGGTTCTGGTAAGGTTCTGGTGTGGTTCTGGTGTGGTTTTGGTGTGGTTCTGGTGTGGTTCTGGTAAGGTTCTGGTGTGGTTCTGGTGTGGTTCTGGTAAGGTTCTGGTGTGGTTCTGGTGTGGTTCTGGTAAGGCTCTGGTGTGGTTCTGGTGTGGTTCTGCAACACCAGAATGTTGCAGCCTACGCTTTCTGTATCCTCTAGTGCCTCTTTATATGTAGAGGATTCTATAACACAGTCGCCTACGTTCTCGTTTTTAAATTTTAAATTTTTAAAATTTTGCCCCGAGGGGCGAGTTTATCTCGTTTCACAACCGAGGTTCAATCTCTGGTCAGGATAGAAACGTTTCATTTCACCTGATGCCTCTGTTCACCTAGTAGTGACATAGGTACCCGGGAGTTAGGCAACTATCGTCGGGCTGCATGCTGGGGGGAGGGTCAGTAGTCAGCCTAGCCCAAGGGGGACCACGATAAGGCGAGTTTCAGGCTTCCTGTCCCCGACAACGTGAACTAAGAATATAGTCATCGGACCCCTGGCGGCAGAAGGGGCTCTGGTTGCCTGCTCTACACTTGTCTCAAAAGAATTAATATAGACCTTAATCTAAGCGGGAAAGAAAAGTTAAGAAGGTTAAGGAAAAGGTAAGTTATAGAGCTCACAGAGCCTCTAGTGAGAATGGGGAGGTGGTGAGGGAGGCGGGGAGGGGTGAGAAGCAAGGAGGTATGGAGAGGGGGAATAGAAATTGGGAGGGAATAGGGAGTAGAGAGGGAAAAACAAGAGGGGAGAAAGTGAGTGACGTGGAGAAAGGTAAGTAGGTGCAGAGAGGCTGGGAAGGGAGGAGAGGTGGAGATGGGAAAGAGAGGTAGGAAGGGGAATGAGCCTTGAAGAAGGAGAAAAGTGAAATAGACTATTACTGCGAGTGACAGTTGCGTGACGCAGAGTGACGGGCGCGTGACGCAGGAGTGGGGCGGACAGGTGGTCTTGCCTCGCCAGGCACCAGGTCACACCTCGCAAAAAGCAAAAAGCAAAAACAGAGAGTAAAAGCCGGAGATGAAGATGATGAGATTTCAGAGGGGAATGCAGAGGGGAAAAACGAGGAGGAGGAGCAAGAGGAACAGAGAAGCTAAACAGGGAGGAGAGGAAGGAAATGAGAAGATATAGGATAGAAGAAGTAAGAGGAAGACGGCGATAATGATGATATACAATGTCCCAAAATGTTATGAACGCTAAGAGCATAGACTTGGTACAAAACACAACCACTTTGGAACAAATATGTTTTAAGTTGACCTTGTGTGACCCGGAGAAGGTCAGCTGGCTGTGTCTTGTGCTGGTGGACTCTTGAATGAGTCAAGGTCACCTAGTGAGGTGTGTGAGGTCAGTGACCACCAGGAACCTCACCAAGATAGCGGACAAGATAACCAAATGAACAATAATATATTGTATTATAATTAAGAAAAGATCTTATCACTAATTTTATGAGTATTTCTTTCCCTTACCAACCTCCCTTTTTTTAATTATATACTTTATTGCACATGATAACATTGATTGCGAATTGTGTAGCACTAACATACAAACATCATTACCATTACAAGTCAAATTCAAAACAAACGACAAGGATTAATTAATGGATGTGACTAACCTGACAGTTACTGCAAGTCACACACCTCGAACTCCTCCGAGGCTGAACGGTGCCCAAGATGCAGCAGGCATTTCCCCCCTGAACTGCGACACTGACGCGCTGAAACAAGAAACTTGTCGCTCTTTGGTCTTTTGTAACTCTGGTTAGTTTGTTGCCCAGCTCTTTCAGGACCTTCAAAGCACATTTGCTCCACAAACCAAGAGTCTCTGAACCAATCAAAATACAACTGTAGCAACGTGCCACATCTCTGTATTTGGTGGCTTTCTGTATTTCCATGAAGGAAGCAGCACCTACCTCCTTCAATTGCACTACATTGAAAGTAGGTAGTGGTCAACGTGGAGGCCTATGTGTGTCCCACACCACTAACCTGCCATCCTTCCAGAGTAGCCTGGTGAGCCCAGCTGAACACTTCTGGGTGTCGTTGGGTCTGTGTAGGTGCTTTTCTCGTTGTGGCGGGCAGGTTCCTTATCAGGCTCGACCTCGAAGACCACTAGAAGAGGGTCCCGCAACACAAGGCGCTCAGCCAGTGGCCTCATTATGGAAGTGCCGCTAACAACAACATCACTCCATCAACGATCATTCCTTCAGAGGCTGACTGCCATTTGGGACATGTTGTCTCAACGTGTAAATACTCGCATAATGACGCCAAGTGATCACGTGAAGACTACGGTACTCAGCTGCCTCCTATGACACATCCTGTACCTTTCATACCTGTAATTTAAAATTAAATTTTGTTACTAATGAATAACTAATTAGCGTAATAAATTAATTAACCAGTTTCTTGTAACGGGGGGTGGGGGAAATAGCTCTATCTTGTCCATTATTCCACCCCCCAGTTAACTAACGAGGCCGGGGGAAACAGCTCTCTCTAGTCCGTTATCCCGTCCTCAGTTAGCTAACTGTTCTAGAACACTCCCAGAGTTCCTAAGGCAACCTCTCTCGTTCAACACCTTGTAACCTAGGTATTTGACTACCTAGGTGCTAAGACTACAAGGCGCCGTAACTGGATCAGCTACCCGAAACTCTAGAGAGAACTCTAGAATACATTTCACTGCCACAAACGTATAAGAGAAAACGAAAGGAAAGAAATGAATAGTGAATTAATTAGTGAGGGTTTGGGGTGAGAGGCAGAGAGGTGGGAGGAGCGAGGATGGTCATTAGTTGAAAGTGAGAGTTTAGAGGGGTGGAGGGAGAGGTGTAGATAGGTAGAAGTAGAAGAGTAGATATTAGAAGTAGAAGAGTAGATAGTAGAAGACGAAATGCTGCCACCATCCATTCATGATCATTACATACACGACAAGGAATGGAACTTGTCTGTATCACAAAAGATGTTATCAAGAAGTCATTATTAGTATGTCCCATCTTTATCATGTACTCATTAAATCATGAAACCAGTAACCACAGAGGCTTTCTCACCTCAACTCAAAGACTCTAGGGAACAAAGACAATTTAAATAATAAATTCATAATTATATTTCATATGAAGTATCATACTTTAGCAATTCCAATGTTCAAGATTTATATGCAACGTGAGTCATCCTCCAAGAATCTGAGAACACTACAACTGACTGCCCCTGATCATCACACAACACTTGTAAAACACGACCAAGTCTCCTTAATGTTCAACTCACCAAGTGTCTGCCTATAGCTGGATAGAGAGAGGGGGGGGGGTCTGTAGTTGAGAGACTGTCCCGCCCTGCCGGCCGACAGCCTCCCTGCTAGGCCGTCTCCTCTGCTCTGCTGGCTGCTGTTCTGTTAATGTTTTTTGAATCGATAGTTCTCCGAGTATATATTGGGGAACCTAGTAACTAACTCTGCCCACAAGTAGATAGCCTCCGGCTCTCTACCAAGCCACTCCTTAAACGTCGGCATGTTTGAAGGCTACCAGGCTCCAATTATAAGATTAGTAGAAGTAAGGTGAAATTCGCATGATCTGACCTCAGGTCACTTGGGGTCATTAACTCTTAGAGGTGTGACTTTCCGGTGGACAAACTGGCGCCTTCTCAAATTCTTGTCTCTGACTCATGTACTCAATGTATGTATTAAATACAACTAAACCAAACACTTTTACAGTGTTACATTCTAAGGTTAGGCTTCAAATGAGCTGGTGTAGGATATCAGCTCTCAGCTAATTTAGAGAGAGAGAGAGAGAGAGAGAGAGAGAGAGAGAGAGAGAGAGAGAGAGAGAGAGAGAGAGAGAGAGAGAGAGAGAGAGAGAGAGAGAGATGACAAGCTAAAATAAATTGTAATTCATCGCTTATTCTTCTCTCTCAAAGAAAAAAAAATAACCATATTGTCACGTTTCTGGAATTTTCACATCATTTAATTTTAATTTCACGCTAACATCTGGCACCTTCGTCCACCAGGGACTCGTGTACTAGTGGTCTTCGTGATAGAATTTATCTCAAATTGATACCGTTTGGTTACTGATAAAAGGCGATAGGTTAATGAAGTAGTAATTATTAACGCAAATGATTTTATATTTTGTGGTGCATTTCTTTCTCGTGGGATAATTTTAGTTGTTATTGTTGTATGGCGGAGTATGCTGTGTTGTATTGTATGCTGATGTATGTTATCATGGAGTGTAGGAATGTTATGCTGTGGGGGGCGTATTATACAGCACTATGGCTTGGTATAATGTAATGCTTTACTATGCTACGGTATTCTGGATGACATAATATGTTATACTATGCTATGTTATGCTGTAGTGCTATATGTAATATTATAGCATTTTTATACTATGATGCAACATATGACGCGTGTTATGCTACACTTCAGCATAATAATGTATAAAATGCTGCGTTTGTCACCACGATAGTAAACTATGATGCTGGATGTTGTTATCTCGCAGCATATATCATGCTGCGATATTATGGTACAATATCATACTACACTATCATGCTGCGATATTATGCTGTAATATTATACTGTAATGTTATGTAATAGGCTATTTTGCCCTTTCATTTGCAGAGCATTAACCTACAGCTCGCTTACTCGCTCCACTATGTAACCTCTGCAGTTTACCTGTAGTTGGTCTCGAGAGTTCAACTCCACAATCCTGGTCGTATTTTGTAATAATTTGTTCGGTCAGACTATTACTTGCAGCGGCCCGCAGGCTCTGACATGTACACTACAACCCGCTTGATCCGGAACTTCCTACTGCTTTCCTACACCCAATAATGTAGGACAATAATTATGGCTCTGCCCGAAACGCTGCGCGTACTAGTGGCTTTACAAGAATGTAATTACTATGCTATGTATCCTCACAATCCCAATGTACCTTCTTGTATATAAATAAATAAATAAATAAATAAATAAATAAATGAGAAACATTAGAGCTGAGACTGAGAACCAGAGACAATCAAGACATGCTGGGAAGTGTATTAAACAAAACAGGTAGTTACTGACCTAGCCCGGCCTCTGAAGGTTCCCGAACGTCAAGAAACTGTCGTACTAAAGTGTGCCCTTATCCTAACCTACCAGAGGACCCAAAACAGAAAACGGGACAGTATATGATTATTACGGGCTCACCATAGCCCGTGCTACTTGCAACGTCTTGTTCCAGGTAGCAAATCTTAAACAACCACCACAGCAACAAGGGACAGTATGTCAATTTCGCGAGCCGTTATCATTTTCTAGTATGGCGATTTTTGGCCTGAAGTAGAGTATACGTCAAAATACGACGTGCTATTAGGAGGATGGGTTGAGGTCAGGCATACTCAACCCCATAGTTGAGCAAGTGACAATCTTGTGAAACTAGTTGCACAGTCGTTAGTATTACTTCATTCCTCCAAGGAGTGCCGGACCAACCGGGCTGTGGTGGGTATGTGGGCCTGCGGGCCGCTCCAAGCAACAGCCTGGTGGACCAAACTCTCACAAGTCAAGCCTGGCCTCGGGCCGGGTTTGGGGAGTAGAAGAACTCCCAGAACCCCATCAACCAGGTATCAACCAGGTACCTCCATGACTCTCCCTCACTAGCCACGTGTGTTGGTGTGGGGATGGCGCCCAAGGAGGCGTGTTCATCAGTGACAAAAGTCCCAGGAAGGGCTTGGTCCCAGGAAGGGCTTGGTCCCAGGAAGGGCTTGGTCCCAGGAAGGGCTTGGTCCCAGGAAGGGCTTGGTCCCAGGAAGGGCTTGGTCCCAGGAAGGGCTTGGTCCCTGGAAGGGCTTGGTCCCAGGAAGGGCTTGGTCCCTGGAAGGGCTTGGTCCCTGGAAGGGCTTGGTCCCTGGAAGGGCTTGGTCCCTGGAAGGGCTTGGTCCCTGGAAGGGCTTGGTCCCTGGAAGGGCTAGTTGCGGCGCCTCCCTCCCGGGTCCTGCACCTCACCTTCCTCAGGCGGGGCGAGGACGGAAGGTCACAGGTCTTGGTGGGCCCGTCAGCGCCTGCCTTCACTTTAAGTTATTGATTTCCCATAACGAGGAAGGCGAGGGTCCTCCTGGTGTGGAGACGTGAGTGATGGCTGCCATTACAGGTAAACACGGCCCTTCCGCTCCTGGCAGGGTGCCCGCGGCCGCCATCTGCCCATTTGTCCTCGGCCGTCCGCCATGTTTGGTTATGGTTAATAATCTCAGGTGTGTCGTGTCCTCCACCCTGCTCCAGGCAGCTTCATTAGTGACAGGTAAACACAAAGGTGGGGGAGGAGGTAAATACAAAGGTGAGGGGGGGGGGTTGTGGGGAGGGGGGTCTTGGGGAAAGGGGGGCGGTTAGTGGTATAATGATTCCCGCCAGAAACTGCTCCAGCTGTTGGGAAACTAGAGGAGGGAAGATGGTGTTCTTGGGGGAATTGAGAAGATCGACCTTCCCCTACGAGGCAACCCCACAATTTTACTTATTTACCGCTAGGTGAATAGAGGTATTAGGTGAAAGTAACTCTGCCCAACCATTTCTGTCCGTATGGGGATGGAGACGAGAACGTAGCCACTGTAGTACGGAGGCTCCTTTACCACACATGGTTCAATAAGCTTACCAACTACTGAACGGTAACTGCGGTTGTTATACAACCGTGGCAATAAGCCTCCTAAATTAAGCCACTGACGTCACAGACGCTAGTGGCGACTTAGATGGCTTCAACATCTTCTTAGCCAATCACACACTAAGCGAAGGTGACATCGGAAACCCCTAAGCCAATCACAGGCGTTCCCGCTTCGACGTCATCAAACAGGTGTACATTCTCATGGCAGAACTCTTATAACACTTGTGGCGTAGAGTCATTACAGCTGTGTAGTGACGTCATAACAGCTGTATCGCGATGTCATAACAGCTGGTTCATGACGTCGTCAGAGCCGTGCCATGGCCTCATAACACCCGTGCCGTGACGTCACAACAGCTGCACCACGACAGCAGCAGCAGCAGCAGCTGCTGCCAGAAGACCCTTTGGCCTCAAAGTTTTAATTAAAATTCCTCGAGTGGATCTTTGTTTAGTGGGCGCAAACAATAATGCTTCACCTGAGACTCGTGTCATGAATCAGCCTCAGGTTAATGATCCAGATGCGTGCCGGGGACAGGTGTCTGGGACAGGTGTCTGCCTCCTCACGCTTGCCAAACTGCTTTTTCTCTAGGATTTCCGCTCTGAAAAACGTATATGTTGTTGTATAATATAAGTTATCTCTAACAATTGCTCACGTGGCCTCACAAAATGAGGTGGTTCTATGAAATATCTATGCCCAAGCTTACCACCAAGTGCTGTCGGGATGTTGGGGAATTTCATATTTCATCGAATCACCTCACTTGGTGGGGCCACGTGAGCAGCACAAATGCGAATAAGCTTGAATGGTCCCCAAGCCAATATGCAACTGAAAACTCCACACCCCAGAAGGATTCGAATCCAGACAGCCAAGAGCACTATGCACCATAGCGTACCCGGTTCTTTAACCACTCGACTAACAGTGACTGTACAAAAGACATTGGTAGCCGAGGCTACTTCCCCGACATAAAGATAGCACTTGACTGGGTTCAAATCCTTCTGGAGTGTGGAGTATTCAGTTGCATATTAGCTTAGGGACCATTCAAGCTTGTCCGCATATATATATATATATATATATATATATATATATATATATATATATATATATATATATATATATATATATATATATATATATATATATATATATATATATATATAATTTGTCTGAGTTGTAAACGGCAGAAACGAATTTTTCAAATTTGAAAGGAGGAAATGTATATGTTTATCTCTCAGAATGTTTGGTAATATGTTTATTGTTTGTGATGTGTGTCTATATATGTATGAACACGATGTACTGAACGGGGTGAGAATAGCTTGAGCTGCCTCATCCCTTTGTGTGTATTTTACCTCAATAAACTTATTTCAATTTCAATTCAATTTCAAATTTGAAAGTGTTTATTGGGTCGCTTCGAGGTAAACAAAATTTGAAACTTGCGCGCGCTGCTGTGATCTCGTTCAAACGGGATGACGGTTATATATTTAATTCCCCCATTCTGTGTTATCTTAATTTTTTTCCCCTGGTTCGTAAGTGTGATGAGTTTGGCTGATGAAGATTAAGCCACCCACGTGGTGGCACGGGCATGAATAGCCCGTTAATTGTAATGTTGTTTAGTAGGTTTTGTTAAGTGTCACTCACGGGTCTTCAAGGCATCCACAAGGGTGTAGCCAGTATGTCTGTGTATATACAATCAGAGTATACGTTAGTCCTGGACAATGTTCAGGACTAAAGTATACTGGATGGTTGGGGAGTGGTTGTGGCGGCCTTAACACCCCTGGAAGCTGATCAGAATTACATTTCACCTTTGTAAATGCACATTAATGACACTATGTAAAAGACACATCGAACACTTTATGTAGGGCATACGTAAATCTGTGTATCTATGTATTTACGTATGTAGGTTAGCTTAGCATTTTAAAAGCACCGAATCACCTTCTGTGATTGATTGTTCAATAAACCCTTGAACTATATGTTTAACACATCTCTAACCCTGTCCATGGAGGACAGAAGAAAATGTATATATGCTGGTTAGCACTGTAAATGTCTGGCCACGTCTGTGGTAGAAAATAATAATAATAAAAAAAACTCCACATATACGTGTGGGTCAAGGCCTTGAGCGATGCCACAGAGGAAGGTCGTCCTCGACAACACCTGCGAGGAGGAGGTCAGCGGGACACACTCAGGGCAGAGAGCCATACAGCGGTCCTCAGCACTGCTCATAACTGCTGCTCTAAACACAGTTACACATGTGTATAATTTCTATTAATTAAAGGAGAGCTGTTGCATGCGTACTTACCTATTTGTACTCACCTATTTGTGCTTGCGGGGGTTGAGCTTTGGCGCTTTGGTTCCGCCTCTCAACTGTCAATCAACAGGTGTACAGATTCCTGAGCCTATTGGGCTCTATCATATCTACATTTAAAACTGTGTATGGAGTCAGCCTCCACCACATCACTTCCTAATGCATTCCACCTGTTAACTACTCTGACACTGAAAAAGTTCCTTCTAACGTCCTTGTGGCTCATGTGGGTACTCAGTTTCCACCTGTGTCCCCTTGTTCGCGTACCACCAGTGTTGAAAAGTTTATCCTTGTTTACCCGGTCGATTCCCCTGAGGATTTTGTAAGTTGTGATCATGTCTCCCCTTACTCTTCTGTCTTCCAGTGTCGTAAGGTGAATTTCCCGCAGCCTTTCCTCGTAACTCATGCCTCTTAGTTCTGGGACTAGTCTAGTGGCATACCTTTGAACTTTTTCCAGCTTAGTCTTGTGCTTGACAAGGTACGGGCTCCATGCTGGGGCTGCATACTCCAGGATTGGTCTTACATATGTGGTGTACAAGATTCTGAATGATTTCTTCTAAGTCCTCGTCCTAAGAGGCACTAAGAACTAACTAAGAACTAAGAGGCATGAGTTACGAGGAAAGGCGGCAGGAAATGCACCTCACGACACTGGAAGACAGAAGATTATGAGGAGACATGATCACTACCTACAAAATCCTCAGGGAAATTAACAGGGTAGATAAGAATAAACTGTTAACACTGGTGGTACGCGAACAAGGGGACACAGGTGGAGACTGAGTACTCAAATGAGCCACAGGGACGTTAGAAAGAACTTTTTCAGTGTCAGAGTAGTTGACAAATGGAATGCATTAGGAAGTGATGTGGTGGAGGCTGACTCCATACACAGTTTCAAGTGTAAATATGATAGAGCCCAGTAGGCTCAGGAATCTGTACACCAGTTGATTGACAGTTGAGAGGCGGGACCAAAGAGCCAAAGCTCAACCCCCCGCAAGCACAAATAGGTGAGTATAAATAGGTGATTCCACACACACACACACACACACACACACACATACATACACACACACACACACACACACACACACACACACACACACACACACACACACACACACACACACACACACACACACACACACACACACACACACACACACACACACACACACACACACACACACACACACACACACACACACATCACCAGGAAGCAGCCCATAGCAGCTGTCTAACTCCCAGGCATCTATATTTACTGCTACGTGAACAGTTGCATCAGGGTGAAAGAAACTCTGCCCATTTATACACAGAAATCACAATAGCGTGATATATCAAATGAACAAATCTACGAGGAAGATGATTAAAGCGCATCTGGGAACATCCCGTACGTAGGTTCGAACCCTCATCACAGCTCTTGTGGATTTGTTCATCTACCTATTTATTGCTGCCACTGCCGGGGATCGAACCCGGGCCCTTAGGACTACGACCCCAGAGCGCTGTCTAACCTTCTCATTTAGTTAATTACGTTTTTCTTCTCGTTTTACGTTAAACAAAATTCTAAAATCCTTATGACATTCGATCCCGGGCGCCGGCGAGAAACAATGGGCAGAGTTTCTCTCACCCTATGCCCCTGTTACCTAGCAGTAAATAGGTACGTGGGTGTTAGTCAGCTGTCACGGGCTGCTTCCTGGGGGTGGAGGCCTGGTCGAGGACCGGGCCGCGGGGACACTAAAAGCCCCGAAATCATCTCAAGATAACCTCAAGATAACACATCTTTTTTTTGTTTAAGAGGTGGGTACAGGAGGAGACGACCGCTGACTCCTGTTAGCAGGCTGAGACCTTTCCCTTCCCTCAGCCCATGGTGAGCCTTAATGACCTAACCACTCACCACAAGATGAGGAAACGACCCGGTCATTTCCTCCTCTTGTGGTGTATGGTTTGGTCATCATGTCATCAGCCACGTTATTGTAGTCGAATTCCCGCCAAACATACACCGAAACTACGACGTTGGTACAACGTTCCAACAAGTTTTAACACCTCCTAACCAGTTATAACAACCCATATAGCAAGTTGTAACAACGTTCTAATACGTCATAAACACGTTAAGCCAAGATGTAACAACTTTATTACAAGTTGTAACAAGCGGAAAATAGAGACAGTTACGGTTTGTGTTTCCAGGAGTGACTCCTCGTCTACTCATGGTAAGCCTTACCATGGAACACGACTCGCCAATCGTTTAACAACCAGGTACCCAATCACTGCTGGCTGAATAGAGGCATACAATTAAGGATTGGCGCCTATAGTCAATCCTCCTCGGCCTGGATACGAACCTTGGCCAAATCGCTCGCGGGGTGTGTTACCGCTGCCCCACGGGGCAATCCGTTCTCGCACTTGCTTATAGTGAATATTGGCTTATTTAATAAGTGCATATGTGACATACTAATTGATTGTGAATATTTTAGTTTACCTTGAAAAGCTTCATAGAAAACACCGACCTTACCTAACCTTCGTAGTATGTTAAGATAAGCATCTTATTGCTTCTTAATTACAATTATTACTTAACCTATACCGTTGATAGGTTAAGTAATAATTGTAATTAAGAAGCAATAAGATGCTTATCTTAACATACTAAGAAGGTTAGTATGTTAAGCACCCCCCCCCTACTCCACAGAGTGCTTGTGGTGGAGTAGGGGGGGGGGGGTGATGTAAACATTGGTGAGTTACCTGCTGCCACACCAAGTAACCAAGTCGATGTCTCCTTGTTGAGGGAGCTGGGATCACCATTCTCACTCTGGCTCCCGTGAGCTCAACACGTGAGTATGGTGGTGGTGGTAGGGTGGTGGAAGTGTGGTGGTGGCGGGGCATGGAACTGTAGTGGGTGGTTTTATGATGTGTGTGATAGCTATAGTTGCTGCTATGGTGGTGGTGGTGGTGGGAGGGGGGGGGGAACAGTATAGTGATGTGGTAGTATAGTGTATATGGTGTATATTTACATCTCTATTAGTCGTAATTGGGCTCTAAGAGAAGTTTAGCATTTCAAACAGCGCAAAAAAACTACTTAAGAATATAAGAATAAGGGGAACGACAGGCCTATTGGCTCATATATATATATATATATATATATATATATATATATATATATATATATATATATATATATATATATATATATATATATATATATATAATGTCTAACCTACGATTGAAACAATGGATTCCATACCTGATATATTAGCTGCTAATTTGTTCCATAGATCAAAAACCCTATTTCCTAACCAGTATTTGCCCAGGTCTTTTCTAAATCTGAACTTGTCCAGTTTATATCCATTGTTTTGTGCTCTATTTTGTGTTAATATACTTAATATTTTATTAATATTTCCTTTCTTATACCCATTTGTATACTTCAATCATTTCCCTTCCAACTCTTCGCCTTCTTAGAGAATGTAAATTAATCTTTCTCAATCTCTCTCTCTTGAAATGAGAGGTTTCGAATTCCTGGGATTAACATTGTCATCATTCTTTGAACTCCTTCAAGAGAATCACTCTTCAGTTGTTAGTATGGCGACCAAAATTTAACTGCATAATCTAAACGTGGCCTAACAAGAGCAAGAATCTTTCTCTTTCTTTCTTGCATTCAAACTCCAGAAAGTTCTGGAAAGATTTTTCCAGATCTTTCTCGCATTCGAACTTCTCAATTTGAGCACCATCATGCTGATATTATTACCTAGTCTCAGATCCTTATGTTTTTCAGCATTAAACTGCATCTGCCAATATGTCGTTGGTTTCAAAAGCCTGTCAAGATCGTCTTGAAGAAATGTCAAGACTTCAAGAAAATCGAGTCTTCTGAATGGATTTCCATTCCAGATTTCCAGTTTCTGGATTTCCAGAAGTCCAGAATGGATTTCTAGCTTGATTTATATATTTATACAAAATTCCCGTCGAATTTTTTAATCGTCCACAAATGTGTAAATACTGCTGCTCAATCCCGCTTCTAAATCATTTATATGTGATTACACACACTATAGGATGATATAGGTGTATATAGCCCTATATCATCCTATAGTGAGCAGCGAAGGTCCCAGGAGAGAGCCTGGAGACTCCCCGCTTCAAAAGGTTTCCGCTTCATCTTAACGCAGACTTAAGATATCCATTATCTTAATTATCAAGATATCCTCAATATCCTCAGCCACAATACCCCTATATCATCCTATAGCCCCAATATCAGGAACCTCTAGCTTTCTAGTCAGTCTCTCCTGAGGCACAGTATCAGAAGCCTTGCTAAAATCAAGGTACAGAACGAAGCAGTTCATTCTGCTATCCTATGCCTCGGAAATTTTTTAGAAAAGATTGAAAGCAAATTTGTTAAATATGAGCGGCCCTTTTGTACAATTATTTTGTGGATCCTTTATTCATCTCTATTTTTCAAGATGTAGAGAAGAGTGACTTTTGTGATTATCAATTCAAACCAGTTTTCCGACGTTAAGATAATCGGTAGATAGTTTGACGCATGTTTATGGAGAGGTTGGTTGTTTGTTGTGGTTGTTCATGGAGAGGTTGGTTGTTTGTTGTGGTTGTTCATGGAGAGGTTGGTTGTTTGTTGTGGTTGTTCATGAGGGACTAGGTTCATTGTTGTGGTTGTTCATGAAGGACTAGGTTCATTGTTGTAGTTGTTCATGATGGACTAGGTTCATTGTCGTGGTTGTTCATGAAGGACTAGGTTCATTGTCGTGGTTGTTCATGAAGGACTAGGTTCATTGTTGTAGTTGTTCATGAAGGACTAGGTTCATTGTCGTGGTTGTTCATGAAGGACTAGGTTCATTGTCGTGGTTGTTCATGAAGGACTAGGTTCATTGTCGTGGTTGTTCATGAAGGACTAGGTTCATTGTCGTGGTTGTTCATGAAGGACTAGGTTCATTGTCGTGGTTGTTCATGAAGGACTAGGTTCATTGTCGTGGTTGTTCATGAAGGACTAGGTTCATTGTCGTGGTTGTTCATGAAGGACTAGGTTCATTGTCGTGGTTGTTCATGAAGGACTAGGTTCATTGTTGTGGTTGTTCATGAAGGACTAGGTTCATTGTTGTGGTTGTTCATGAAGGACTAGGTTCATTGTTGTGGTTGTTCATGAAGGACTAGGTTCATTGTTGTGGTTGTTCATGAAGGACTAGGTTCATTGTCGTGGTTGTTCATGAAGGACTAGGTTCATTGTTGTGGTTGTTCATGAAGGACTAGGTTCATTGTTGTGGTTGTTCATGAAGGACTAGGTTCATTGTTGTGGTTGTTCATGAAGGACTAGGTTCATTGTTGTGGTTGTTCATGAAGGACTAGGTTCATTGTCGTGGTTGTTCATGAAGGACTAGGTTCATTGTTGTGGTTGTTCATGAAGGACTAGGTTCATTGTTGTGGTTGTTCATGAAGGACTAGGTTCATTGTTGTGGTTGTTCATGAAGGACTAGGTTCATTGTTGTGGTTGTTCATGAAGGACTAGGTTCATTGTTGTGGTTGTTCAGATAGGTTGTATTTTGTGGATATATATGTGTGATGCCGTACTAACGAAGTGTTGTTGCAAACAGGATGGCCGGCCTGTTTGTAGGACGGGTGGTTAGCGGGCTCCTGCTGGTGGTGGTGGTGGTGGTGGTGGTGGTGGTGGTGGTGGCAGGGGGCTCCTCCACACAGGTCACCACCAAGTACCGCCGACTGTCCCAATACACTCGCTGCGGGGTCACCCTTAGGACGGAGCGGGTCCCTTCCCTCACCTTCTGCGCCGCCTTCTGCAGCCTACGTAGGTTGACTGGCCTCGTGAGCGGGCACACACATACTTATACATACAAAAAACATGCATATATACATATACTCACAGGCCGAAGTGACACTGAATTAGATAATCGGCGGCTATAAAAGCTGGGTCCAAGAGCTGATGCTCGATCCTGCAGGCACACAGTTGAGAGACCCAAGAGCCGAAGCTCAACCCCCGCAAGCACAACTAGGTGAGTACACACACACATACACCAGCTCGTCCTCTCAAATTGCCACAACGTTACAAAAAATGATGTACTAAATTTCCCAGGACCTAACCTAATAGTGGACCCACGAATAGAAAACGGGACATCACGTCAATTTTGCCAGCCGCTCCCATTTATAGTACATCATATTTTGACCGTTGGGGATTTATGTGTCAAAATATTTATTTATTTATTTATTTATTTATTTATTTATTTATATACAAGAAGGTACATTGGATTTGTGAGTATACATAGCATAGTATTTACAATCTTGTAAAGCCACTAGTACGCGCAGCGTTTCGGGCAGGTCCTTAATCTAACAGATTATTTTAAGTAGGTAAATTCTAGCAGAATTAATAAAATGATAACAGGTACAGTGCAAGAAAAAAAATGAGATGAGAGAGATTAGTATGTATATTAAAGCACATCGGTAGCTCTGATTGATTGCATTGACAGCTTGATTGGTAATTCAAACAAAGATTAATAGGCACCATACAGCATATTGATAGCACATATAAGAAGACAGCAATGATCACACTGGTAAAGTTGTTTGCATTAGGTACATAAAGATTGAGAGGTTGGGCAGCACTAGATACAGTACAATCTTAAATATGATCTACTATTGGAGAGGACGTGATTTATACCTGATGCATGGAAAACCTCAATATTACTCTAAATTGTGATATTTCGTTGCATTTTTAACGGATTGGTCGGGGTAATTCGCTCTAGAGATTGGAATTCCTCAGAGTCCGCCTGCGTCGGTTTCAACCTGGAGGCCGACGGTGGCTCTTCCAGGTCTTGTGAGCTCAGTAGCTCCTCCTCCAACTGTACCTCTGACGCAGCCGTCCACTTCTACTTCGCCTCCACCACAGAAGCATTAACGACTCTCCAAGCTGGTAAGTGGGATGTTTGACGTGTGTGTGTTGGGATTAAGGTGTGTCCACCATGGTAGGGTTACCTTGAGAGCTGACTGACCAGCTGGAAAGTTTAGTTTAGGCATGACAAAGTTGGGGGGGACTAGGGTAAACTTTTGATGTAGATACACCGAGAAGTGAGGCGTATATATATCCCTGGTTGGTTTACTTCCAGCTGCTTGGTGAAGGTGGAGTCTTATGTGCTGGAGGCGAGGAGTACAGACACAAGCTCCAGGCTGTAGTGTTCCTACTGGTTATTGAGTCAACACAACCATAACTACAACCACCAGTACCACCACTACTGCTACCACCACTATACCTATTACCAGCCACACCACTACACCCACCACCACTGCTGCCAACACCACCACCACCACACAACCATCATACAACCACCACCACCACACAACCATCATACAACCACCACCACCACACAACCATCATACAACCACCACCACCACACAACCATCATACAACCACCACCACACAACCATCATACCAGCACCACCACACAACCACCACCACACAACCAGCACCACCACACAACCACCACCACCACCACACAACCACCACCACCACCACACAACCACCACCACCACCACACAACCACCACCACCACACAACCACCACCACACAACCACCACCACCACCACACAACCACCACCACCACCACACAACCACCACCACCACACAACCACCACCACCACCACACAACCACCACCACCACCACACAACCACCACCACCACCACACAACCAGCACCACCACACAACCACCACCACCACCACACAACCACCACCACCACCACACAACCACCACCACCACCACACAACCAGCACCACCACACAACCACCACCACCACCACACAACCACCACCACCACCACACAACCACCACCACCACCACACAACCAGCACCACCACACAACCACCACCACCACCACACAACCACCACCACCACCACACAACCACCACCACCACCACACAACCAGCACCACCACACAACCACCACCACCACCACACAACCACCACCACCACCACACAACCAGCACCACCACACAACCACCACCACCACCACACAACCACCACCACCACCACACAACCACCACCACCACCACACAACCACCACCACACAACCACCACCACCACCACACAACCACCACCACCACACCACCACCACACCACCACCACACAACCATCATACCACCACCACCACACAACCACCACCACACAACCAGCACCACCACACAACCACCACCACCACCACACAACCAGCACCACCACACAACCACCACCACCACCACACAACCACCACCACCACACCACCACCACACAACCCCCACCACCACCACACAACCACCACCACACAACCACCACCACACAACCAGCACCACCACACAACCAGCACCACCACACAACCAGCACCACCACACAACCAGCACCACCACACAACCACCACCACCACCACACAACCAGCACCACCACACAACCACCACCACCACCACACAACCACCACCACCACCACACAACCAGCACCACCACACAACCACCACCACCACCACACAACCACCACCACCACCACACAACCACCACCACCACCACACAACCAGCACCACCACACAACCACCACCACCACACCACCACCACACAACCACCACCACCACCACACAACCACCACCACCACAACACAACCATCATACACCACCACCACCACACAACCATCATACCACCACCACCACACAACCACCACCACCACACAACCACCACCACCACACCACCACCACACAACCCCCACCACCACCACCACCACCACCACTCAACCCCCACCACCACCACACCACCACCACACCACCACCACCACACAACCACCACCACCACACAACCACCACCACCACACCACCACCACACAACCCCCACCACCACCACACAACCATCATACCACCACCACCACACAACCACCACCACCACACCACCACCACACAACCACCACCACCACACCACCACCACACAACCCCCACCACCACCACACAACCATCACACCACCACCACCACACAACCACCACCACCACACCACCACCACACAACCACCACCACCACCACCACACAACCAGCAGTGAGGGAGGGTAGGAATGTGAGGCCCGGGGAGCCTCAGACAGGGCCGCCAACCATATTTGACTCACATCTCCAACCCAATTTCCTCACAATTCCAGCTTCACTGATATCGGTATTTTTATATTAGTTTTTGTCCCGTAGTTTTCTTAACAAACTCTTTTGAAGTTTGAACATTTTTCTGGTCTTTGTTATTCGCGTATTTCCAGTTTATTGTTATAATTTGTCTTCTTGATCGTAATAAAACGGAGATTTTTAATTACATTAAGTTTAAGATCATGATAATTATTGAAAGTTTGCAGGTAAGTCCTCAGAGGATTTTATAGCATGTTTTTGTCTTGTGTCCTCGTGAGGGCCTCTATATCAGTGTAGGTGGCAGATGTAGCCTACAATTTATTGGTCAAGAGGAATTAAATTATTTCAGAGTTGCAGAATCTGAGGTGAGAGTGAGGGACACCGCCTTGACCACTACCTGAGAGAGTGTGAACACCTGAGAGACATTAGAAATATGTGTGGAATAATAAACCTCACATTGTTTGAGTTTGGAAAACACTATTTGTCAAATATTGATATTGTTCTTAAAAGATTCCTCCATTTTGCTCCCGCAAGATAACGTAAGATTTTAAGGGTTGACAGATGTTAATCTTCTTGTTTGAGGAGCTGTTCACTTGAGACAGTTAAGGAAGTCCCAGCTGTGTCTGGGTACAAGTGACAGGATGAACAACCCAGCGGGTTTTCTTCCTATTGAGGAGTGTTGTACATGCTGCTATGGCGGTGTGTCCACTCACAGGATGAGTGGCGCTGCCCAATACTGTCACTATGGCGGTGTGTCCACTCACAGGATGAGTGGCGCTGCCCAATACTGTCACTATGGCGGTGTGTCCACTCACAGGATGAGTGGCGCTGCCCAATACTGTCACTATGGCGGTGTGTCCACTCACAGGATGAGTGGCGCTGCCCAATACTGTCACTATGGCGGTGTGTCCACTCACAGGATGAGTGGCGCTGCCCAATACTGTCACTATGGTGGTGTGTCCACTCACAGGATGAGTGGCGCTGCCCAATACTGTCACTATGGCGGTGTGTCCACTCACAGGATGAGTGGCGCTACCCAATACTGTCACTATGGCGGTGTGTCCACTCACAGGATGAGTGGCGCTGCCCAATACTGTCACTATGGCGGTGTGTCCACTCACAGGATGAGTGGCGCTGCCCAATACTGTCACTATGGCGGTGTGTCCACTCACAGGATGAGTGGCGCTGCCCAATACTGTCACTATGGCGGTGTGTCCACTCACAGGATGAGTGACGCTGCCCAATACTGTCACTATGGCGGTGTGTCCACTCACAGGATGAGTGACGCTGCCCAATACTGTCACTATGGCGGTGTGTCCACTCACAGGATGGGTGACGCTGCCCAATACTGTCACTATGGTGGTGTGTCCACTCACAGGATGAGTGGCGCTGCCCAATACTGTCACTATGGCGGTGTGTCCACTCACAGGATGAGTGGCGCTGCCCAATACTGTCACTATTGCGGTGTGTCCACTCACAGGATGAGTGACGCTGCCCAATACTGTCACTATGGCGGTGTGTCCACTCACAGGATGGGTGACGCTGCCCAATACTGTCACTATGGCGGTGTGTCCACTCACAGGATGAGTGGCGCTGCCCACTAAACCCGAGGGAGGGACTCTGGATCACGGACCACAGCCCAGAATGAAAGCTCTCATACAACGTCAGCTCTTGCTTGTCAGGTTGTGAGTGGAGGTGCAGCTTTATGGCTCCAGCTTGCTGGTCAAACAATAGTATATTCGGGAGAAGGTTGTTGACCAGACCACACACTAGAAGGTGAAGGGGTTTCGGTCCGTCCTGGACTTGGAAATGGCTCTTAATACCCGATTGATTGTAGTGTCCCTACCTACAGCCACCCAAAAGGTGGCACGGGCATGAATAGCCCGTAAGTGGAGGCCCTTTTGAGCCATTACCAGTATCAAGAGCTGATACTGGAGATCTGTGGAGGTGCGACTGCACCCTGAGTGACGGGAGATGTCTCCCGTGATGAATAGCCTGTATGTTATGGCATTTATACCTGGATTACCATTCAGGTGGGGTTGCTTCCCAGTGTAGCACTGCCCAAGTGGCTCTACCGTCCAACCACTTGGGCTGGACGGTAGAGCGACGGTCTCGCTTTTTGCAGGTCAATCCCCGACCGTCCAAGTGGTTGGGCACCATTCCTTCCCCGCCTCCCCATGCCAAATCCTTATCCTGACGTAGAGAGACGTAGCCCTGTCCTATCCGGACGTAGTGACGTATGTGAAACGTACACAACTCTCCTTTGTTTGTTGTGCTCTTGTGGAAGACGTGTTGAGCGCCCCAGTGAGGGGGGGGGGGCCGTGACCTCACCCCGGGGAGGCTGTGTCGGCATCATGTTCCTCTGCATGTGGGCCTAATAATCCCCCCCCTACTCCTCCTCCTCTCACCATGTGTTGGTCTCCTGCATCTTGTAACATCTATCTTTCCCATGATTTGTCAGCACCCTGCCTCAAGACCCAGGGCTGATCCCGGGGCTGATCCCAGGGCTGATCCATCCAAGGACTGATCTCAGGGCTTCGTGAGATTCTGAGGGCCGGAATGGACCCGCCTTCAGACCCCAAGGTGTTCCTTGCTCACTCTCCATCATCATTTTCTGTGCCTTTTTTACTCAGTTTCATACTCCATTACTCTCACGGTAAACACCCATTGGTGTTTACTCTAATTTTCTCATATTTTTCGTTTTTTTGTAAAACTGAGAACTGCCGGAACAGAGAAGTTACTGCCTTCAATAGTGCTTTTATATTCAATTCGTTCCGGGTCATTTGTATTCTTGGTGGAGAGATTGTGGAGGTTTGTTGTTGGTGTGGCCCTTCTTCCTCCTCGTGTGTCCTCACCCAGGTGTTGGGGAGCATGCTTCTCCCCACCAGTGTACTCAACAGTGTACTCACTGATGTACTCACCTAGTTGAGTGTGTGTGTGTGTGTGCTCACTTGGTTGTGCTTGCGGGGGTTGAGCTTTGCTCTTTCGGCCCGCCTCTCAACTGTCAATCAACTGTTTACTAACTACTTTTTTTTTCCACACACACACACACACACACACACACACACACACACACACACACACACACACACACACACACCTGGAAGCAGCCCGTGACAGCTGACTAGCGCCCAGGTACCTATTTACTGCTAGGTAACAGGGGCATTCAGGGCGAAAGAAACTTTGCCCATTTGTTTCTGCCTGGTGCGGGAATCGAACCCGCGTCACAGAATTACTAGTCCTGCGCGCTATCCACCAGGCTCCTAATCCTCATGTTCGGTTAATCCTCGTGTGTGTGTGTGTGAGTGTGTGTGTGTGTGTGTGTGTGTGTGTGTGTGTGTGTGTGTGTGTGTGTGAGTGTGTGTGTGTGTGTGTGTGTGTGTGTGTGTGTGTGTGTGTGTGAGTGTGTGTGTGTGTGTGTGAGAGTGTGTGTGTGTGTGTGTTTACTATTTGTGTCTGCAGAATCGAGCATTTTAGCTCTTGGACCCCGCCTTTCTAACCAATCTCGCTTATTTTCCTCTATTTTATCTACTACATATACTACTACTACTCTCTTAACACACACACACATCCCCAGGAAGGAGCCCGTAACAGCTGTCTAGCACCTAGGTACATATTTACTGCTAGGTGAACAGATACATCAGGGGTGAAGGAAACTCTGCCCATTTGTTTCCGCCTCCATCAGGAATCGAACTCGGACCATTAGGACTACGACCCCCAAGCGTGTAACACCAGATTCCAACCCTGATTATACCCCAGCTTAACACTTACAAAGCTTACAAAGCCCACTTTGACCCAGAAATGTTTTCACCGACTCTTAACTGATTTTTTTAAAAGGGAAAAACAATGTCTTGTTATGCCTTAATATTTAATATTGCTTATAAATAACACTGCCACAACTCCCCTGTTGACGAATATGACAATTATAGGCCTCTTAGGGAAGACGGAGTCCAATAATAATACTCGAAAGACGTAAGGGAAATTAATTACTTGGAATAATTTATAGAAACTGTTTAATTTACTTCCTGAGAATCAGGGGACCTCTTTAATTAAACTGGTCCCGCCTCTCAACTGTCAATCAACTGGTGTACAGGTTCCTGAGCCTACTGGGCTCTATCATATCTACATTTGAAACTGTGTATGGAGTCAGCCTCCACCACATCACTGCCTAATGCATTCCACCTGTTAACTACTCTGACACTGAAAACGTTCTTTCTAACGTCCCTGTGGCTCATGTGGGTACTCAGTTTCCACCTGTGTCCCCTTGTTCGCGTCCCACCCGTGTTAAATAATATAATTAAATAATAATAATAATGTGTGTGTGTGTGTGTGTGTGTGTGTGTGTGTGTGTGTGTGGTGTGTGTGTGTGTGTGTGTGTGTGTGTGTGTGTGTGTGTGTGTGTGTACAACTGTGCATATGCATGTGGTGTATATGTATATATTCATTATCTATTGTTGCAGATACAACAACAACCATCTCTACGACCGAGATCGACTCAACAACCACCACCCCAACCACGACTTCAACAACCACCACAATTACCCCCACTAGTCTCACCCCAACCACAACACCCCCAACTGTAACCACGGCTTCTACAATAACCAGCTCCATCACCACATCAATCCCCACCACGTCAAGACCCACCACTTCCGTGGCAACCACACCTCTGCCCTACACCATCGAACTCAGGTTCTTCGCCATCAACAAGGACATCCATTGCTCGGGCGACCATGCCATCACCACCGTGGTCATCACCCCAAGGGACTCTAACCTCACTACCATCTCCTACTTCATCTGCAGCAAGGTCATGGGCGTCAAGTTCAATGTGAACGACAAACCTAACGCCATAGTATCCACGGGCTCCGATAGCAACTCCACGGGAAACTGTACTAACAACATGGTACTCTTCGAACTCCAGCCGGATTCTAAACAAAGTTTCATGGTTCCTGAAACAGTGGTGTGTAAGACGCTGGTTAACTGGAACATAGACTACACTAACTGTCGTTACGAGTATCTGACTGGCACGGGGACCGTTTGGCCGACGGTAAGTGCCATGTACACGGAGACGTGGGAGAAGTGGATCTCCTGTCTCAACTTCTCTTTGGCGGTTGGTCTCCAGCGCGAGAAGGTCGGCTCCGTCTGGCAGATCAAATCCCTCCTCTGTTGCTACATTATTTATGCGCCCAACTAAATATGTGCTGTTGCCGCTGCTGCTCCTGTTGTTGTTACTGCTGCTGTTGCTCCTGTAACTGCTGCTGCTGCTGTTACTGCTACTGCTACTCCTGAATAAATTATAAGTTTATAAGATCAATACTGTACCTAATTAGGAAACAGTCAGAGAACAATTATACACTAATGAACTGTACTAAAACTTTATAGATGTGGTACCACGTGAGATCTACACTATAGCTATTCCATGTACCATCATACTACCATGCAAGAAAAGCCACATATAAATGGATCACTCAGGAACACCAGAAGACTCCTAGACGTAACTACGCCTCACCTTCAGCCCGATCATAACTAGTTTTCACAGTACACATCACCTTTACGGGCTATTCATGCCCGTGTCACTTGGCACTTGGCACCTCGGGGGGGGGGGCTTAATCTTCATCAATCATCACATTACCTGTCGATGTAGACCTGACCAAATGTAAACTGTGTCAGCAAAATTATTCGCACACCCTTGGCACCAATGTAATGCAATGTCAACAAATTAGAGAATTTAGAGATCATTCTATAAATAATTACAATAGTTCAATAGACGCCTAAGTTTTTCATTTAGAGTTGTGTGTTACCAGAAATATTTAGCCAAGCATTCAGAGTTTGCGTACGGCCGCCTTCTGAATGGATGCGAGGTGCACGATAGACAAATTAAAATTATATCTATCTGATCACATATGTGAATTGCTTGGCTGTAAGACCATTGAGGTCTTGTATATGGACCGTTATTTTCTTGCAAAATACTGCCACTCGCATACAGGATGAGTATGGGGTCTACTACTACTCACAGGATGAGTATGGGGGTCTACTACCACTCATAGGATGAGTGTGGGGTCTACTACCACTCACAGGATGAGTATGAGGTCTACTACCACTCACAGGATGAATATGGGGTCCACTACCACTCACAGGATGAGTATGAGGTCTACTACCACTCACAGGATGGGCATAGGATCCACTACGCTTCACAAGCTGGGTATGGGTTGCATAATAAATGACAACCTGGAGTAGTTCCATATAATGTCTCCCTGTTCGACATGTTTCCGAACCAGCGGTGTGGACTCAGGAATATGTCATACTTATGATGTATTACGTGTTGATACACTACTGATCTATATTGTGTATTCTATATTTATATATTTGGGATGTGACTAATGTGTCAATAAAGTAATTGCTGTAGTTTCTGGTTTAGCGATTGAATAAGTGTGTCTAGAGCAGTTAAGGAAACAAGAGGAGTGCTAACTGCCTCTCTAAGGTTAGGGTTTCTTTCACTATTCTCTGTGAAAAGGAATCAAAGAAGGAGGGAGGGGGGGGGGGGTAGTTGGCAGTATTAAACACCAGCACAGAGCGGTGGTTGCCGCCTCGTAGTGACCCACGAAGTCGAAGTTACGAAGTCGAAGCCACGAGGTCGAAGCCACGAGGTCGAAGTCACGAGGTCGAAGCCACGAGGTCGAAGCCACGAGGTCGAAGCCACGAGGTCGAAGCCACGAGGTCGAAGCCACGAGGTCGAAGTCACGAGGTCGAAGCCACGAGGTCGAAGTCACGAGGTCGAAGCCACGAGGTCGAAGCCAAGAGGTCGAAGTCACGAGGTCGAAGCCACGAGGTCGAAGTCACGAGGTCGAAGCCACGAGGTCGAAGCCACGAGGTCGAAGCCACGAGGTCGAAGCCACGAGGTCGAAGCCACGAGGTCGAAGTCACGAGGTCGAAGCCACTAGGTAGAAGCCTTCGACTTCAAGGCTGCCGTAACCGCCTGTCCTTGTGTCCGTAATTCTTGCTTTCAGAAGTCTTGAAGCTCAGTGGTCTACGTCCTTAACGTGCAGTCAAGAGAACTGGGTACAATTCCCCGTGCAGGAGAGAAGCGGTTGGGCACGCTTTCTTTCACCTGATGCCTCTACTTACCTCTCAGTAAACTAGGTATCTGGGAGTTAGGCAGCTGTTGTGGGGTGCATCCTGAGGAAGGCTAGTAGTTGAACTAAGGAAAACTGGACGACAGGAATTAATTACAATATTCCTGTACACTGTACAACAGTTGATTGACAGTCCAGAGACGGGACTGTCACAATAATCTTCAAACGCCTTTACCAAACTCCCCAAATCAACAAAAATACATGAAACATCATTAACTCTAAGATTTACCGTATTGGAGACCAGGAAGACATCAAAGGAAACCTTTCACCTGTTGCTCGTACTCGGCCGAGCGTTCCAGCCCAAAGCAATCAATGAAAAGGTATGAACGTCTCATCTTTAATACGAGTCTCTCTCTCTCTCTCTCTCTCTCTCTGGGTCTCTTGCCCCAATGAAGCAGTCTCTCAACCTGCCGGAATTAGAGCTTCGGCCAGGACAAACAGCTTTGTAAATTTGCATTTTGTCAAGTCATTTACTAAAGTTTGCTAGAACCTTTTATGCACAGTTATCTGTAGCAATGTTGGATTTTATACTTTTATTGAACGCTGTATTATTGTATAGTATTTGCTATTCGTTTGCGTTTTTAAGTTGTTTCTATTGGTGACCCCATGTCCAAAGTATCCTGAGAATAAACACAATTTCAGTCTGCCCAACGCCTTCTTTCCTGTTTGATTTATAGAATCTTGTCGTAAATCCCTAAAAAGTTGGGCAAGCAGGATTTATCCTCTCTGAATCTGTGTTGACGGAAACAAAACTCATCTCATCTAAGTGTTTTACTAGTCTGTTCCCACTCAGCCTCTTAGTACCTGTCAGGAGAGGCTTGTTAGCTACAACTGTCTGTCTTTCTGTGGTGCTTGTCTGCCATCTTTCTTATATACTTGCAGCACATTAGCCATTTTCCAAATCTCGGGTAGTTTTCCCCTCAGTTGTGGGAACAAAACTATAGCAACTGGTCAAAACAGTCCTGCTTCTTTACCATAGATCTTATCTATGGTAAGATCTTGTCTGGGCCTGTGGCTTTCATCTCATCAAAGTCTTCTAGTTGTTTCCATCTTCTGATGTCACTTATTTCTTGGGTCTCTTTTCTGAGAGTGGCTGTTCCCTCCGAAGTCATGGATATAGAGGTAGATCTGATTCCATCTTGAAAACTTGCTAGACATTTTAATGGAGTACTTAGTAGTAGTAGTAGTAGTAGTAGTAGTAGTAGTAGTAGTAGTAGTAGTAGTAGTAGTAGTAGTAGTGGTAGTAGTAGTAGGCATCGTGTAGTCTCGGGAGACTATGGAGTCGCGCTCCGGTTGTCCATTACTCAACATATCTGGTGATCACTGTGTGTCAACACTTGCATCTGTGGCGCTCGATCACATTCGCTGATATTTCCCTGCTAGCGTGGCTGCGTAGTGCTGCGGTCGCTGGCCTTGGGCGCTGTGTCAGTCACATTTCCTCTGTGTTCATTCCTTGTATATATGTTACGGCTCACTTATGTTTAGTCTCCTTGTGTTTCTTGCCATTTATTTTCTTGGCCGCTTTAATCTCTATAGACTCAGCCTTCCTATGGTTCCTTTTCATTTGCTAGTTACGTAGTACGTCATGTTTTGTGCTGTTTTCTCACTAAGTTCTATTTTCCCCTGGTGTTCACTTTTAAGAATTCTCAGACTCATTGGTACTCACCCTGAGGGTTGGGTACCTCTCGCCCCGTCACCGTAGCATCACAGTAACGTAACCAGGGGCCAGATTCACGAAGCAGTTACGCAAGTACTTACGAACGTGTACATCTTTCCTCAATTTTTGACGGCTTTGGTTACGTTTATTAAGCAGTTTACAAGCATGAAAACCTTCCAATCAACTGTTGTTATTTTTATAAACAGCCTCCTGGTGCTTCGGAGCTCATTAACTGTTTAATAATTGCAAACAAAGCCGCAAAAAGATTGAGAAAAGATGTGCAGGTTCGTAAGCGCTTGCGTAACTGCTTCGTGAATCTGGCTTCGTTTATTAAATGCAAACAATGCCGCCATTATTGAGGAGTGGGGTATACAGCCCGTCCTCTCGAATAATACATCGTATTTTGACGTAAACTCCCCAATGTCAAAACATGGTGTGCTATCAATCACAGCGGCTCGCTCAATTGACGTTTTCTATTCTTGAGTTCGCGGTTAGGTTAGGTCCGGGCGATTTAGTACGTCATTTTTATGATGTTATGACACCTCGAGAGGACATGCTGGGTGTTCATACTTCTAGCCTGTGTGTTCACCGAGTTGTGCTTGCGGGGTTGAGCTCTGCTCTTTCGGCCCGCCTCTCAACTGTCTATCAAGCAACTGTTTCTAACTACTAACTTTTTTCACACACACACACACACACACACACACACACACACACACACACACACACACACACACACACACACACACACACACACACACACACACACAAAGCACAAGATCCAAGATCGGCATCCAAGAGTCAATGCTCGATCCTGCAGACACAATTAGGTGAGTACACACGAAGCAGCCCGTAACAACTCCCAGGTACCTATTTAGTGCTAGGTAACAGGGGCATCAGGGTGAAAAAAACTGCCCATCTTTGTTTCCGCCGGTGCCGGGAATCGAACCCCGGGACTACGTATCCAGCGTGCTGTCCACTCAGCCACCAGCGCCCTTCCACTCGGCCACCACTAATCCATCCAACACCAACATTATCACTAATGTGTGTATGCGCGCACGCGCATTTGCGACGGCGGGTGTGCCTGTATTTACCCGACTAGGTATTCACCTAGTTGTATTCACCTAGTTGTGTTTGCGGGGGTTGAGCTTTGCTCTTACGGCCCGCCTCTCAACTGTCAATCAACTGTTTACTAACTACTTTTTTTTTCCCTCACACCACACCCCAGGAAGCAGCTCGTGACAGCTGACTAACTCCTAGGTACCTATTTACTGCTAGGTAACAGGGGCATTCAGGATGAAAGAAACTTTGCCCATTTGTTTCGGGAATCGAACCCGCGCCACAGAATTACGAGTACTGCGCGCTATCTACCAGGCTCCCAGGCCCCCAAACGTGAGGTGTTTGGGGGGGGGGGGCCTGGTGTAAGGTGTCCCCGCCACCCTGGGTACACCTCCCAGGTGGGATACAACTTGTCACATCACTATTCCCTTGACACATCAGCACTCATCAGGAAATTTCTTAATACAAACAAAACAATTATCATAAGTCAATTCCTTAAACAGGTAAATAATATGAAATATTGACAAATTTTCTTGGTAAAACAAGAGGGGAATCGACATAATTAATGACTGCTGGTACGGATCCCCCCCCCACACACACCTGGTAGGCCC